GAGCCGCACTCCCCTGTACCCCACTTTAGATATGCCCCTGATTAATTTCACTTTCTTTTTAGCTGTTAACAACAATGGAATTACTATTAAATGGTAAAATGTCTGTTAAGGAAGCTATCTGCTACAAGGCATTTTGTGGCCGACAGTATGAAAATTTATAGTAAAAGAACCTCGAACAGTTACGTGGTAAAATTTGTACATAATAAATTCAGTTTTCAGAAGGGATTTGGACTTCAAACTATATATAGACTATATTAGTTCATTTGTTTTGTTTTGTTTGTATTATAGGCTGTAAATTCATTTGGAAATTATCGTTAATGGTTGTATGCTACTGACAGTAAATGTATTATTTTATAGTTGAAAGGTGTATAAATATATTAGAGTATATACATATGAATCAGAATGTTCAAAGTTACAAAATGATCATTGTTCGTGACTCGTTCTTTAGAAGGACGATTTCTATAGTTTTATTGTCTTTCATTGTTATAATCAACCAGCCACGAGGCTGGATGGTATAGGTAGATGATGACCCAAATCTCCTATACTATATATCACAAAACGATATTCATCCGCAAAAAATCTCGATATTTAGTCCAGTTACCATATTCTTCGTGCAGTTTTGCTCATAAAAATAGTGGCCGGGGGCGGGGGTATTCTTTGTTATTTTCAACTTCGTTTTTCTCTGTCAACAACCAGTTACTATTATGAGATCAGTTGGCCATAGTGGTTCACTTAGATTAACCTGAGTATCAGGCCGTACTTTTTAGGGCACAGGCACGCCTGGTCGTGGGCGAAGGGGAGAAAAGTACGGCCTGACACAAAAGTGGCATTTTGCCTGGTTGTTCAGTCCAGAATCTGGACTGAGCGCTGATTGGCCGATTAGACAAACGATTTTTAAATCTGTCATTGATTGGCTGGTGCTAATTAGATTATACTATTGTTGTTGATATATTTTATAACGATCACAATTCACAACTACAATTATAGCCGGCCCACTAAACGGCTGAATTTAAATTAAAACTGCAGTAAAATTAGAAAATAATCGCAAATTAGCGAAATATATTGCAAATGTAGCTTATATTAAATCGCCATCAGATTGCAATATCGACTGACGTATAGTTATAAAGTATACTTAATATATATATATATATACTTTATAATTATACGTCACTGTTTGTTGATAAATACGGCAAGCGCCATGTAAAGCTCATTGTAGTCACTGAAACCTCTGCGGAGGAGAGAGCAATCGGGTGGCGATTTAATATAAGCTACATTTGCAATATATTTTGCTAATTTGTGATTATTTTTGTTAATTTTATAAGTTCATTGCAGTTTTAATTTAAATTCAGCCGTTTAGTGGGCTGCCTATGCTATAATTAGATTGTTGTTGTCGTTGTGTGAAATTTAAATTTCTCCTGCGACATTTTGATTGGATACTAAATATAAACTTTGCTGTGGGCGGAAAGCGATCAGGTTAAGTTTTGTGTCAGGCTCTATTTGTAAAATAGAGCCTGATACTCCAATCTCGTTCCCAGAGTATGCCTGTTCGCGGGTTAGGTCATGCCACAACCTAACCCGCGAACAGGCATACTCTGGGAACGAGATTGCTGATACTCAGGTTAACTTAGATTAATATAGATCAGTGTCCGGGGGGATACGCAAATCTGAATCGGAAAAATTCCGGGGGGCGGGGACAGAGATATCTGATTTCAATATTATATATGCCGACGTCACTTCCGTAAGTATTTTTCATAACAAAATGGTTGCCAAATCAGCTGCGTAGAGCAGTATAGTTTTCTAATTTCTCTCTTCGTTTACGGCGCTTCAAAATGGGCGATCTTTTTGGTAGTTATGAGAATACATTTGGTACGATGACGGCTGAAATTACAGCGAAAATTGGCCGGATTCCTAGCTTAGAAGGAGGTAAAAATGACGTCTAATTTTTGTTCATTTGTGATGTGTCAAATTTTGAAATTTTCTGAGGTGACATATAATTTTAACATCAGTAGTTTGAATATATAAAAATGAAGGATAGAAATTGTTGTTTGGTTAATGAAAAGATAAATCTATTAAACAATGATTTTTTTCTTATATTAATTTGAAATGGTATATGGAAAATTATGGTAACCCTGTACAAAGAATGTAAATTGTCTGCTTATTTATACCAAAACCATGATTCCTTTCTTGAAAAAAACTGGTGTTTTCGTGTCAAAGGAAATTTGGAACAGTCTTTGCGACTTGTTCCGTGATGGGGTTCACCCCCTCCTCCATCACAGAACAAGTCCGGTTGTCAACGGCCCTTTCGTTCATACCGTCCAATTATTTGAATGTGCCTCTACGCTCTTTCCCTGTGTACAAACTCCTCTGTGTATTAGCCCAAGGGCTTATTATTATTAACATGATGGGAATTTCAACAGCTTATGCGAGTGACAATATTACATTACTGATTACAGTATTATAATATTTTCATACCATTGAATGTACCTCTATCTTCTCTTCCTGTGTACAAACCCCTCTGTGTATTAGCCTATGGGCTTATTATTATTAACACAACAGGGATTTCAACAGCTTATACGAGTGATGATATTACATTACTGATTACAGTATTATAATATTTACTGTAACCAACTTGTTTTATTATATGTATATTTCTTTTTGTTTACTGTCGTTCCAATTGAAGTGTTGCTTAAATATTGATTCAATACATTACCTCGGGCTGACTAATACATTTCATCAAGTTCCTCGAGATATCCATACACTTCCTGTGAAAGAGCCAATTCCAAGTATTTGATAATTTCTGGTCACTTCCTGTCTATTTATGATTGATTAGTTGCACAAACAACAAAGGTGATTGGTGCATTCAAACTATTCAACAGGAAGTTTACAATTATACTAGGAAGTGTATGAATATCTCGAGGAACTTGATGAAATGAATTGGTCAGCCCGAGGTAATGTATTGAATCGATATTTGAGCAACACTTCAATTGGAACGACAGTAAGGCATATAGTACAGGTGTATGTACCACAGAATACTGCAAAAATTTACATGTTCCATATCTTTTGTCTAATGTATATAATATGGTTCCTTAATATTTTTTAGTATAGTCTATCGATATATTTTTTCTTCCTGGGGGTTTTGGGGCAAGATTTCATAGACTTAAATATTTTTTTTAAATGAATATTCTGCGGAAAAAAAATCCAATGTACCACAGAATACCAGTGCAGAGGTAAGTCAGCAACGGTTTATCGAATTGTACCAGGATTTGGTGTGTCATTTTGCATGATAATACTGTGGGATATTGTGAACTTAACTTAATTTAGTGAAAGTTAAACACTAAAATCAGTACAGAATACCAGTGGTATATAACCAAAGAATACCAGGTGTATCAATAATTTTGAAAAATTCAGTTTTTCAATGGTAAAATTGATTACACTGTGTGATTCCAGTGTAGTAATAATATTGCATTGCATAGAAAAAGTATATTTGATCAACGTAAATTATGCTGGTTTGCAAACTTATTTTTAAACATTCGGATTTTATAGGCATTATGCGAAAAAAAAGTACCAAAAATGTAGAATGTTAATTTTTGTTAATCCTCATTATTTTTAAGAATTTTTGAGAAAATATACATTTTTTTATTTTATATGTCAATTAAGACTAAAACTAATATATAATCACAAAAATAAAGTTTATAAGCATATTTCCTTCAAATTTTATATAAGAAATAAATAAGACTAGTATTCTGTGGTACATACACCTGTAGAATGAATATTATTACTAACATGAAATGTTGTCCGTATATAAGTCCCCCTGTATGTAAGCCCTCCCATGTATACGTCCATCAAAAAATGTTTACGAACAAATATAACTACACAGCTAAAAACGATCAGGTTGTTGCAATATTGATGAAAACAGGATTGAACAATGTTGAGCAGCCCACATTGTTCACAGTTATCAACATTGGTGAACAATATTGTTACACCCGATTCAGGCTCAACATTATTGTTCAATATTGTTGACAACTGTGAACAATGTGGGCTGCGCAACATTGTTTACTCTGTTAAACAGCGGGCTCATATTTTTACATGTGTATATAAGCCCAGGGCTTATATTCAGAGGTTTACTGTGTATTAGGGGGAGGATTTATCAATTGAGACTTTCATCCTGTTCAGGGACGTCGCTAAGTCATCAACATTGGGGGGTGTCGTCATGTTTTGACCAACATTTAATAGAATTTTGACCAAGTCGGCGGGGGAGCAACAAAATTTTTCCGACTAATATAAGAATACTTATTTTCGACCAAAATAAGCAACGCTTGCCAATTTTTCACCACAATTTACCGAATTTGACCTTAAATTTTAAAAAAATAAACAAATATCAGTTCCAGTTTGACCAACTTTGAGCAAATACCAGTTCCATTTTGACCAATTTTGACCAACGTTTGAATTATTGGGGGGGGGGTACACACCCCCTATACACACACACACCCTGTAGCGACGTCCTTGATCCTGTTTCCCCTCTCGTTATTTTGTCACTTCATTTTATAAAAAACAATTTTAGGAGTGAAGAAAAATGAAGTAAAAAATGTTGAGAAATTATTTGAAGAAGTCAAGGAATTGGTAAAGTTGACGATTATACATTTCATGTAGAGTACCTGCCAAAGACATGGCAAACAGTCTTTCCACAGGGGACGACAAACAAGTAGGGGTGCACCGGAACCAATTTTTAAAGTTCCGGCCGGAACCGGATCAGAACTGATTTTCTCAGAACGTTCTGTTTTTCTCTATTCTGTGGGTTAAGCCAATGTCTCTTGTTAACCCCATCAATGCACAAGACTTTTCCCTTGATGAGTAAAGTTGTCTGGCTTTAGGGGAAGTAAAATAACAAAGTAGGGCACTTTATTATTTACTCTGCCAGTAATGCCAGATTGTTTTACTTGTCAAGGGGAGAGTCTTGTTGAAATGAGTTGATTTGACCGGGAAGCATTCAAATGTTTTTTACTCTTTCAATATATAGCTTGAACAAATGGATTTGGAAGCTCGTGAACAGCCGGGGTCAGACAAAACAAAATACTGTAACAGAGTAAAATCATACGAGAAAGAAGTCCAGAAACTCGAACAGGAGCTGGTATGTTCAACATATCTATTAAGAGGTCAATCTCGTTCCCCGAGCCTGCGATCCTTGGGAAGGAACGTGAGGCTCTGGGATAATCTGTTCCAGGAGGAATCTGATTGGCCGTTGAAGTGGAATGCATAGTTCAATTTTAGCCAGGATTCCTGGCTTCCGGCAACAGATTATCCCAGAGCCTTGCGTTCCTTCCCGAGGATCGCAGGCTCGGGGAACAAGATTGTTAAGAGGCAATTTTTTTCAATGTGGGGGGAAACTTCGCATCTTCGTAAAAATATTTAGATTATAAATGAATATTTTTGAAATTTAAATGTTTTAAACTTGTAGAAAAAAGCTCAAGTAAAGTTTGGTGACTATGAAGCTGATCGCAATGAGTTACTTAATTCTGAGTTTACATCAAGCTCAGAAGATCAGGTTTGTCCTGAATGCAGTTATAACTCAACTTCTATTCATTATTGTATCATATAATTATCAAAGTAATTTTTAAAAAAATATGTTGTGTAAGTCGAGAAAATCTTACTCTTTATTTTATTTTATTTGAATTAGTATTAAATTAAAATAGTAACCCTGCAAATAGTATATGTAAATTGTCCGCTTATTGCCCAAACCATGGATCCTTTCTTGAAAAAAACCTGGTGTTTTACTGTTTTGTGTCCAAAAATAATTTGAAACAGTCTTTTTTGGAACAGTCTTCCTGTTGATATCATTGAATAATACATGTAATGGACCCGCAGTAAATGGCCTTAGCTGTTGCAGGCTCCAAGCTTGAGAGGCGAAGTGTAAATAAAGAAATAAATTTCTTTGTAGAGAACTAGGCTACTGGATAACACTGAAAGGCTAGATCGAAGTTCAAACAGATTGGATGACGGTTACAGAATGTGTATCGAAACAGGTATAGCAAGTTTTATAGAAGATCAAAAAGTTTTTTCATGGCATTTCTATATCTTTAAGTTAAAAAAAAAACACACCCACAACTAAAATGTTTCATTCTTTCCAAAGAGGAAATGGGCACAGCTATTATGGATAACTTACAAAGAGATCGAGAAGTCATGACGCGAACAAGAGAAAGGGTAGGACTATCGTTGTTTCTGAATGCACCCTTTCGAGAAGTAGCTACTATCACTTTAGCCACAGTAAAACCCCGCATATAAGAACCTAGATTTTCCAAGTTAGCCTAATCAGGTTCTTATGTGAATGGTGCTAACCAGGAAATTAGGCTAAACAGGTTCTTAAATAGCTTCTTGTTTTCTTAAGAAAAAAGCAACTCATTGTATATGATTTCAGGGCTGCAAATTACTGTCGGACATCGAACAATGTCCGACTAAATTTGACAAATGTCCGAGCAAAAGTAATTTTGATCGGACAAAAAAAAATTGTCACATTATACATTTTTTTTCTGTGACAAAATCCGATTGCAAATTCACTCAATTTGCATTTTGCAATAAAATTTACGAGGCTTTCTAGCATTTTACTTAACGTCGCGCCGGAATGGCTATACATACTTGTCTCGTGACTTATATATTTCTTGTGACGTATATATATGTCCGACCAAATTTAGTGGTGTTGGATTTTGTCCGACCAAATTGAAGTTATGTCCGACCAAAATTAAAAGTGATCGGACAAATGTCCTGTCAAGTCAAATATTTATTTGCAGCCCTGTGATTTATATAAATTATGACAAACAAATCTCGAACTCATTAATAATTCATGAGCAAATTAGCGAATGAACTCACCCTAATTCGTCACATGATTGAGGTTGGATACCGCAAGGAAACACGCTAAAAATCATATACCATCACTGTTGTTAGATGAAAAACGGTTTTCATCTAATAACTGAGATCCTAATTACAAATTCAAGTCAAAACACAACAATATACTATAATAATATATATAAGCCAATGAAATGTTTTCGTTTGAGATGTTATGTAAACAACTCGTTTCTCGTGTTTCATCAGGGGACCAAACACTCGAAAACAATAAAACACTCGCGCTTCGCGCTCGTGTTTCATACAGTTTTCTCGTGTTTGGATCCCCTGATGAAACACTCAAACTCGTTGTTTACATATAACATGAACATTTAAAATAATGATAGTGTATGCACTGTACCAACTCTATATGCACTTTAAAGCTACATTGATTGTAACAATTTTGACTCTATTTGATAATATATGAAGAATCTGTTTTAAAATTCTATAGCCTGAAGAGTTTCTTCTCTAAATAGAATATTTTAACCTAAAAGGTTCTTAAATTCTAGGTTCTTATATGCGGGGTTTTACTGTATATAGAGCTCGTTTTTGTGTATCGGACATTAGTTCTCCAAGCATCCTAATATATGCAAGGTGTCCAAAAAAAAACCCCAAAACTATTGAAATAACGTATTGTTAGAATTCGAATGCCGCAGCACTATAAGCTGAACGCAAAGATATCAAGCTTTTATGCATTTGTAGGTTCAGCCGAGTCCTAAGGCATTCAAGTTCTAACAATATGTTATTTCAATAGCTTTGGGGGTTTTTGGGACACTGTATATATTGAGCTTCGTTTTCATGTATCTGACATTCTCAATCGCGAAAACAAGGCCTTATAACCATAGTGACATATCCTTTCCAGTAGGGTGTATTACAAGCAGAAAATATTCACTATATAAAAAGATTCGTATTACGTGCAAGTACAGGATTAAAATGTGTTTTTCAACCGTCACTTTAGTTACGAAATACAGACCAAAATCTAGGAAAGAGTTCAAGAATTCTAACTGCAATGATGAGAAGGTAATTTAAAGTTTTAAAAATCTTTTTGACTTTCTACCTCTCGCTAGCTCAAGACGCATTTGATTGGTTAGTTGGGTAAATTAAACCCATCTGATTGGTTAATGGTAGTATAAATCAAAATCTGAACCTCTATCAATTCCAGGGCCGTAGCAACCGGGGGGGGCTGGGGGAGCCCCCCCCCCCAATAATTTGCTAATAATCATTCTTTTTTCCAAATCTTGCAGACTTTTATCAATTTTAAGCTTTATTATTTTTAAGCGGCTACATTATCCATGACAAACTGCAAGGAATGAAGATATTACCCATACTTTCCTGCAACTTATCCAATATATAGTTAATTAAATACACCTTCGCCCATTTAGTACTACCAAACTGTAAATTTGGACATACTAAAACGCTGTTTTCTGACCATCAAAATTCCGTCAAATCTTCCCCAAAGTCCAGGAAATGGCGTTTCAGAGACTCTAAATTTAAAAATTTCCTCGGGCCTTTGGCCCTCGCTTTCAGTCCCCCCAATAAAAAAGAGCTTCCTACAGCCCTGAATTCACATGACACTGCAGAAAATAAAGAAAAATCCGTTTTCTCACCCGAGATACCTTCGGGTTTTGTGATTGTGAAACCAATGCCAATGAGGAATATTTTTGTCACCACGTGAAATCTTGCTTTGGTGGTATAACAAATATTATAATTTTAATCAGAAGGGCACATTGCCTAGAACTCGTATAAAAAGCCTGCGCAGAGCGTAAAAGATGTGGTTTTAAGTTTCTTCGAATAAGGTAAAAGGACATTGGCAATAAAAAATTAGTTTGTCTCATTCAAAAGAACTCTTAAAATTATATATTAAACTCTATTACCGATTTGTCATATCTTGCTTAGTTCTCGAAATATTTGATGACGTTAGGAGTTGGGTTAACCATATAAAACTACTCTAAAATGACCGAGTAACAATCCAAAAGTGTTTTTGAAGTACTATTTAAAATATGAGCAGCAGTGTTTTATCAGATATAAAGATACGAGGCGAAGCCGAGAATCTTTAGGTCTGATAAAACACGCACTGCGAATGTTTTAAATTGCTTCAAAAATGATCGATCTAGTAAGTTCATTAGCGAAGTAATTTTCAAAACATATGTTGTGTAAGTCGAGAAAATCAAAGTTAAAGTTTATGTAAATCAGGGAAATCTCTATCACATATAAAGATAAGACACGCTTGTGTTTTCCTCATGAATTATTAATGAGTTTCTGAAATGTTTTTAATCATTTCTGAATTTCAGACAACAACCAGAAACGAAGTTTTGGACCCATATTGATCGTTTACTCTCGATATAAAAAATTAGCGTGACCCCTCTTTTGACGTAACATGCATATCCTCAATAATCCAAGATGGCGAACAGCTCACTTTTTTCAGTCGAAATATTTTGAAAACTGAGCAAGATATAACAATCTGTAATAGAGTTTAATATATAGTTTTAAGAGTTCTTTGAAATGAACTAAACTATCTTTTATTGCCAATGTCCTTTATTGAAGATAATGAGTATAAAGTCTGCAGTTTACAATTAGTCCAACTCTCGATGGAAGCCAGTCTACATTGGACATTTTGCGCAACGCTGTGGGGAACAGCAAACTTTGGAGTACTAACTACCCATGTTCTGATAGCCCTCTGAGTCCCCAGGTTTTAGGGGTTATATTGAAAATCTTCTTTCTGGTCTCTTACTTTTTCTAGAGTTATTCAAAATAAAATCATAATGGCTGTGATATGTCTGATCATTCTTGGCGCGATCGGCTTCGTCATTTACTACTCTGTCAAGTAAATACTCGAGCAGGAGTTGATGAAGTCATTCTGATATCCCGGTAACGATAATTGACAATGTACAGCAATTGAATTTCATTTGTACAGTATACACAGTGTAGTTCGCGCGCCTGCATATAACTTTATTTATGAGTGTACGGCACCTGAATTATTCAATATCTTGCATGACAGTCAGGGGCGTAGGAAGCATCTAAAAGTTGGGGGGTGGCAGGCTTCGAGGGGCACTTTTCGAATAAAAAAGGCACCTAAAAATTTTTTCCCGCGAATGTTTGCGACGGGGGGGGAGGTAATCTCAAGAAATTTTCCGGACATATCCCATTTTTTCCCCAAAATGACAAAAAATTTTCGGACATACCAAAAAAATTTTCCGGAGATATCATATTTTTTCCCGAAAATGACAACATTTTTCCAGACATATCATAATTTTACCCGAAATAACAGAATTTTTCAGGACATACCAAAATACAAAAACAAATGCAATCAAAAATCAAAGGCTATTGGTCAGAAAATGTAATCTAAACGAGATTTTTCACGGAGGTAAAGGGCAATTTGCTCCCGGAAAAGGGGCACTTTTGAAAAGTTGGAGGCCCTGGCCCCCCGGTTCCTACGCCCCTGCTGACAGTGCTTCTAAATCATAGCAATCATAGATAGAGAATGCGTGATCCTATCTTTTCTCAGTAAAAAAATTGTCTCCACAAAATGGCGGATTTGTAAGGGCATTTTGGCTAGTCCGGCAACAAAGTTTGCAAAAAATTTTATGTCGAGACTTAAAATGGAGAAAAAAACATTCCAGTGGGGTGTTTGTACGAAAAGCAATAGTTCTGAACACAATATATACAGAAATCGTCGTTTAAAAATACATTTTCAACGTTGTTTTGCAAGCCAAAACAAAACACGAAAGATCGAGACAAACATGGCGTATTTATAAGGGCACGCATGAGAAAAAGTGGAGACATGGTACGCATTCTATATCTATTATTTTTATGAAATTTTTTTTCTCTGTGTTGGTGTAATGTACTCAGGTGAATATGTTTTATGGATTTAGAACATAGAAATAATATGCTTGTGATGTTCTTCCCACCGTGGCCAGGCATATTTTTCAAGCTTGCCCGGTGTGGATATACACTCAGAGCTGCCTCGTCCCCAGGCGCTAATAAAAAAATTTCATGCGAGTCACTATATGAAGGTTTACATGAAGTAGTGCATCACATTATAGGCGCGCAAGGGTCCCTGCGCTTGTTCGTCGCGATGCACTACTTCATGTAAACCTTTCACATAGTGACTCGCATGAAATTTTTTTATTAGCGCCTGGGGACGAGGCAGCACTCAGAGTAACATCACAAGCATATTATTTCTATGTTCTAAATCCATAAAACATTCGCATATTATGCAAATACTGTATATTTTTGAAATCCGCCACATTTAATTATTTACATTAGAACCCAAAGCAGTAAAGCACAACAAGTTTTCGCAGCTCATGTCCATGATTTCCACTGATAATAGCAGCGTAGGATCGTCCAATTATTTCAGTGTTCGAAGCGAGAAGAAACGATACTTCCATATATGGCACAAACGTGTCCCCAACTTCCAGTTATATGGCACAAACGTGTCCCCAGTATATTTTATCGAGGCTGATATGATCTTATAGATTCCTCGCGTTCGAAACGATTTGAACCCGTCACGTGGTACAGAACCCAGACTGCTGATTGGGTTAGCGAGTGACAACGCCCACTTTGATCCTACCTTCCTGTTATCAGTGGAAATCACGGCGTGACGTAATATTTCGCGCGAGCCGCGAAATCTTGGGTTGTAATGTAAATATGGCGGATTTTGAAAATATACAGTATTTTCATAACATGTAATTGTTTTTTATGGATTTAGAAGGACTGTCAAGGAAGATATTGAATATTTCAGGTGCCGTACTCTATATTTTAACTGGTATTTAGGTAGAATACTGCTGTTGTCAAATTGAATTGGTCCTAAAGCCCGTCTCTGCATATTGGTCATATATTTCTGTATAATACTCCCAACCAGTCAGGAACTAGTGTTCAAAATGTGTCATTCATTGTTTTGAAAATCCGACAGGCGAACACGACCGAGGAATATCTCGCGTTAGCCCGCACGCAACCTGCATGCCCTCGGCCCGCTTTTCAACACTGAGCTATATATTTCCATATGTAATGCTATAATATACATTGCTCTTCAATAAGACCTGGAGTGGGCTCCCGTGATCGAAATCATACGAGGATCACGAATTTGAAAATTTCAAATCAATGAAAGAAAATTATAGATTCTTTTGTTTGAATGCTCAAAACTGGTGTTGCTTAGAATTTTAAAGTATTGTGTTTTTGCTGTGTTGGTGTAATGTACTCAGGTGAATAAGATGCTTGTGATGTTAATCTGAGTGTATATCCACACTGGGCAGGCTTGAAAAATATGCCTGGCCACGGTGGGAATCGAACCTACGACCTTTGGAATACTAGCCCAATGGCAATGCTCTGCCAACTGAGCTACGCGGTCAGGTCGGTTCGAGTATGTGATACTTCGGAACTGAGTCTAGTTCCTTCGATATTAGTGTAATCTAGTAATAATGATATTTGCCCAGAGCATTGGGCTAGTATTCCAAAGGCCGTATAGGTTCGATTCCCACCGTGGCCAGGCATATTTTTCAAGCCTGCCCGGTGTGGATATACACTCAGAGTAACATCACAAGCATATTGTGTTTTTACTTCATGTATAACTGGACTAATATCTCTGTACTAGAGATGAGGCGAAAAAATGAATATACAATGCCGGCTTTCATCTTAACCATAAATATAAATTAATAATATGGATAAATCGTATGTGATAATAGTTGAAATATTAGTAAAAATATTAGTGAAATATTTGTATCTAATGACTAATATCTTGCTAGGATTGTATAAGTTGAGGTCAGGCCGACAGAATTATTTTATATGTACAAGGTTTTCAACATTATTCTGAGTAGCTGGCTGTGTTGATAATCTGTATATTGATGGTGGAATATCTCATTTTGTGTCCATGGAGAGAAATTGGCAAAACCTATAGTTATATCGGTGCCCCAGCGACTAAATATGCGAGGCTAAGATCTTTACCATGCCGGTAAGGAACCCGTATTGATGGGAAGTTAGAAGAACGGCGTTGTGTTAATTTGGGCGTGCATTTCGGCGCTTTGAAGTCTATATTACTTTTCTATTTCCAACGCGAAATGATATTCAGCGGTTTCTTTGGAGTTTACTGGGGGGAATCTGAAATGAAAATTCAAAACATTGAAAAAAAGCATAGGACGGAAATGCAACGCCGTTTCATTTACAAACTGTGAGAGCAATCGCGGTTACAATTTCCGTTTAAAACGGAATATTAAGAAACCGCAATGTTCGTTTAGATTCTTAATTGGAAAACAAACGGGCAAGCAAACGTATATAACAAGAATTAAATATTGTCTATTGTCGATGCTGTCTGCTTATTGAAATGCAAATGCCTTTTCAAGTTTGTTTAGAAGCGGTGAATTACAAAGGTATTGACACAATTGGATCATTGAATTAAACTGGACTGTTTTCGGGGTAATTTTGCCCTCGTGAAAAATGCACTTAAAATAAAATAAAATAAAATGAACTATAACTTTATTTATACTAAATATAGTTGGATTATAAACTGTTTTTCTTGAGACCCCGGCCAGTTATTTCGTATTTGTCCAGTGTTAGCACTGGAGGAAATTTAAACTAAACTAATTGATCCAGTGTTATTACAGGAGAAAACCAAAACCAAACTAACTTTATTTACATACTGGATAACTCTATCAGTTCTGAACACTGATCTGAAATAACTGTTCTCCGAAGGGGTTTTTCCTATAGAGGTCTAATAAGGGTCATCTCTTATTGATCCAGTGTTTCTACAGAAGGAAACCAAAACTAAACTAACTTATTTATATTGGATAGCTCTATCAGTTCTAAACTGTTCTTCCTAGAGGTCCAGTAAAAAGTCATCCCTTATTGATCCATGCAGTATTACTACAGGACGAAACGTAAACTAAACTAACTTTAATTTATACTGAATAGCTCTATCATTTCTGAACTGTTCTTCCTAGAGGTCCAGTAAGGATCATCTCTTATTGATCCAGTGTTATTACAGGAGGAAACCAAATCTAAACTAACTTTATTTATATTGGATAGCTTTATCAGTTCCAAACTGTTCTTCCTAGAGGTCTTAATTTATCCCTATATAGTTCAAAACATTTAAATTCAAGACGATAATTGGAAAAAAGTATGCAATAAAACATATTCCGAACTAAATATGCATCTTGAAAATCCAAGATGAATAAATTGTATAATGATTCCAACTTTTCATGTGCGATGAAAATTGTATAACGGTTCAAATAGTTTTCATGCTTTTCCACTTTTCATGTGCCGAATTTGAATTATAATGCAAATAAGCTCATACAATGGCTAACCATTTATATTATTAGTTTCGGCACATAATAAATGCGACGTTTGAACTAAACCCTATACTTGCAGATGGGGCTTTGGTAGTGCAATCGTCGGACTCTCGTTCGGACTTAAAACATTCTTGTGAACTGAAGTAAGGTTAGGACTAGCCCCCTCTCTCCTCCGCAGAGGCTTCTGTTGGCTATGATTACGATTAGTATTGAGATACATTTCAGTACACTTTACATGGCGGATGCTGGGCGAAGGATGGTCTCTTCTTCCATCATAGCTGTGCTTCCTGATCAAATAGAGAGTTTGAGCAAGACAACGAAGTCGGACGACGACAACGTGGTTGACAATATTTGCCTGCCTTGCACATTACCTTGCACATTCTGAGTTTAGGGTCAGGAGTGAAGACAGATTAGAGATTTATGCCTGGCTGTTTGTGAATGCTCACCCAAATCCTTACCCTGATCAAGATAAAACAGCGAGACATGAATCCATATCCCATCTTCGTCTTCTGCCTTCGTTCACAACGAATACTTTGGCAAATTTCGTTGTGAAACTCGTTCTGCACGAAGGCAGAAGGACAAAGACGGGATATAGTTTCATGTCTCGCTGTTTTTTCTGGATCAGGGCAAGATTTATGGTCAGTATTCATAAACAGTGACACATGGGAAGATACGTTGTGCAACCACCAGTGACGTCCAACTCAGTATGCGCAAGATAATGTACATACGACAAAAATTGTCAAGTATGCCTTCGTCTTCGTACTTCGTTGTCTTGCTCAAACTCTCTAATGAAGTTTGAGTGTTCACAACAAAAGGGTGATTTCTAAAGGGTCACTTTTTTTAAACACCTGTATGCTTACATTGTATCGGATCGGTTTTTGGTTCGTTCGCGTTGCTGCCTCCTGTCAAACATTTGTTTTGTAATTTGTTATACGTGTTCCTCATTTGTATTATATTTATATTTATATATACGTGACAAATTAAATTGAATATGTTACGGCCCAAGTGTAAACAGCTTCCGCCTCCGTCCTTCTATCAGTGGCGTATTGCTCATGCAATTACGTCTTTTCTTGCATATATTTTCCAAAAATAAAAATATTGCAGACGTCATTCAGGGCCGTCGCTATGGGGGGGGGGGTGACACCCCCCCCCCCCTTCCCCTGAAAACATCTTTTCGGCAAAATTACGGATTTATCGGCAAATCGTTTTCGTGGCCAGCGAAAATAATTGAGTGGCTCTGATTAAAAAGTAATAGTTATAGCAAAAGATTTTGATAAATTTAGGACAAAGTTATCTAACTACCGAAAAATTTAACAAATTACGGAACATTAATTTGAAAGTTAGTGAAAAATGGTGTGTCCGGAAAATTTTTTTGAAAGAGTAAGCAAGCTATACCCGTAAAAAAGGTTAGAACGGTGAGCTCCATATATATCTGGAGTAGGAACTTGGTTGCTCAAAGTGAAGCCAGTTTCGTGTTAACCGCGCACACAAAAACAATAGAAAGGGACTGGAACTGACGTCCAACAGCTCCTTCAATTTCCGCCATCTTGGCAAGGAGTGTGTTGAAATTTCGTATTTTGATATCGATTTAAAGAATAATATTGTGATTTTATGAACTGAAAACTTGATTAGTGATACGGTCCATTAGAAAAAACTGGACTTAGCTGGGAAAATGGTATAAAAACTGTTTACGACCTTCTGAGCTATTGGACGTCAATGGCCGCCATCTTGGCTTCACTTTTCTCATTGACCGAATGACTGAAATTCTTACTCCAGATA